TTTTTTTTCTACCCATATCATACTGAAGTCAAATTAATAGCATTTAGTTGATGCTGCCTCCTTATAAGCTGACAATCGTTGCAAGTGGTACACAGTGCAAAAAGATGTTACTCATCTTCCTATTGCTTCTTTTAACATATAAGAAATGAGTCTCCTACAGCAGAGTCTAATCTGGCCAAAATACCCAATGCGTGATACCTTAATTCAGTTCTTCCCCTCCCCTACCAGAGGCCTATGTCATGTAGTCAGGTATGAATGAGCTCATCAGAATCTCACAGCACCCATAAAAGTGCCTGCGTTATTCTGATGAGTCTGGCACTACCTGACAGATGGCACTACTGTCACATAGAAACTATCTGTAAAACATAGTTTTCCTTGCCACATGCTGCAAACATTTGACATCATGCAAAATATGACCTTCAGACATCTTATTAATGTCGGTAGGAGTACAAGAGCAAATTCTTTTCCTGGCAGATCTATCATCCATGCCAGTCCCTGAAAAATTAATCTATTAATCAAAGATTTGCTATAATTCACTCCAGTTTCCTGGTATTAACTAGGCAATGAAATGGCACAAAAGGGCAATCTCTTCTCAAAGTAGATGGCTTTATTCTGCCTGATTTTCTGGACAAGACATAAATTTGGGGGAGTAGTGACTTTCAGCTTAAGCAATAAAATGGCTGAAGCTGGAAACTTGCAGGGTTCTGAAGGGTCACATAACTGGAGAGCATGATATAACAATGAGATGTATCTTCTGTGTAGCTTTCGAAGTATATTGGCAGGTCACTCGTGTGTCTTGAAGTAAGCTAAAGTGTCACCTTGCAATAGTTGTTTTTTCTGACACTGTTATTAGTGTCAGAAAATAAGTTGTAAAAAAATTAACTTTGGTAAAAAAAAAAAAAAAAAAATTGAAAATTTGCATACTTTGTAAGGGATGAAATGCTTTGGAATCATGAACATTTGGAAAATGTTGTATGATAGTGATAATAGAAGGCCTGACAGTAGGATTGATGTAAACCTTAATTAGCTGGTGATAGAGTCTTAAAGCTGCCAATATTTTAGTAGCTGCTCTAAAGTTAACTTCAGCTGGTGAAATCTGGGGTAAATATTTAAGCCTTTTCAGGAAGGCTGTTTTTTGCTACTTTTCTGCACCTCATAATTTTTAAAATATCAGTGTTTTTTCTTTCAAAATTGCCACTAGTAATATGGGAAAATGTTGTGTTAAAACGCTGGAAAGCACTGTTGGGAGATATGGTAAAGTTTTAATAGCACACAATAAATGACCATCCTTCTATTGCTGTTTTGTGAAGAGGGGAAGAGTGCACATTTGATTTACATACTGTCTTGGCTGATAAATAAAAGTGAGCCTAAATGAAGTCTTTAGGTACTAACCATTAATCCTGTCTAATTTACCTTAAAAGTCTTTGGGGCCTAGAGACCTAGCTCAACCAGTTAGTGAACATTTGCTAAGCTAAGTTTCTTGAGCAAGAATTTACAGCTGTTTTGCTAACTTCTTTCTTCCTGACCTGCTGTAAGCTGAAGTGAATTAATTTTTGGTCAGAGATATACCGCTTGGGTTTGTCAGGGGAAGAGAGGAAGTAGAAGTTGTTTTGATGGAGTATGAAGCAGAGGGAGAAGGGGGGGAAAAAAAAACAAAAACAACAACAAAAAAACAACTTAGGTTGTAGTCCCATTTTCTATTCAAAAAATAAAAACAATAATCTAATTTGCTTTCTTCTGTTTCTCAGGATGGAGATTTCTGTCCTTTATTTACAGTTGCAGCCTGTGGTTCTATGTGTTAGGCCCTTCCAAATTTAAAAAGTGACTGCTTTTGTGCACACATCTTTACCTGTGCTAGCAAGCAGCCACTAACTTGTGTTACAACAGGAAGGGAAAACCTTATGTTTAATACTCGCTTGTCTATTTATTTTTTCTCCCCCTCCCCTTGCCCTTTTCTCTCTAAGTGATTCAAAATAACCCCAATGCATTCCTTATGCTGCAAATATTGCTATTTGGATAGAATTTCAGGAGATGAGGCAGATATGCAATACTGGATTGAGGTTGTGAGGAATGGCATTGTTTTTAAATGAAAAAAATAGCTGATAATTCCTTTCCGTCCCTCTGTGTTACATTTTTCTTGCTTTTTGTCACTTCAGTGTTGTGTATTGTAGAGGTTCCAAAGCTCCTAGAGCTAAAAAGGGCAGTCAGGCAGAGAAGAGAGGTTTTGCTGATGAAGAATGCAGAACAATCTCAACACCAGAAGAATTGATTCTTGGGTCAAATTCGTCTTTTAAATGCTATCTCTGACTTCTAATAAGGAGTGCGTTTGTATTTCAGTTCCAGCAAAATTATTTAAAAGGTCACCTAACCATGAGACTTTTCTCAGTAGGAAAGAAGGTTTATTTAGGTTTAATACTGACTGTAGTTTTTCATAGGACTATGACATATGGGAGCTATGATGTGTGTATTGGAGCTGATGAGTGTTTGGTGTTGTAATTCTTGAATGCCTTTGTATAAAAAAAGGATTCTTTGCTGCAACTGATTTGTCTGAATAGTGACACTGTTAATGTGGAAAGCATATGATAGAGAATGGGAAGAAAAGCTATTATTTCACAAATAACAGCATAAATAAGAATGGTAGAAATACATGTTGCAGACCAAAAGCTGATACTTGTAATCTCATGTTTCCACCTTGTTTGAGCAATATAGGTGGCAGGCTGTGATATTTCATTGATAGGATCTGTTCAGTGCAGCCAGGTCTCAAACTGTAAGTGTAAAATATTGATGGCACTAGGGCTGTGATAAAGCTTGCTTTGTTTGTTTGCCAGGATTTAAGATCAATGTTTTTTGTAGCCCTCTTAGTTTTAATCAGGAATGAAACTGTTTGGGGGAAAATCGAAAGTATTTGGTTGCCTTCTGAATAGTGTCTACTTTGTGCAAGTCAGTCATTCCCATGGTGAGTCTCTGATCCCCAAAGAATATCTCTGGGTATGATAACTGACTTGAAGGGCATTATAGCACCAGATTTTGTTTCTCTGGGTTCAGATCAAACCCAGTATAAAAAAAGTAGCATGTGTTTATAGTGTGAATTGAAGGTAGTGTTAGACTCCTCTTGAAATAGGAATAGATGTTACTTTTTGTTTCTGCAATCGGTCCCTGAAGGATTTACTTTTAATGTCATCCATCAATTGAGGAAAAGTAGAAGTAGTTTTCATGAGAATGTTGGAGTTCATTTTACCATTGAAATATTTAGAATATGTATATGAAAATAGCTTTTTGGCAAATCTTTATATTGTGAATTGAAGATGATACTTCTAGGTATGGCATTGTCAGGCACTTACTTTGTAGCTATATGCTAATGTATTAAGAAACAAAAGGATTATGCATAGCAAAGAAAAAAATTTTTTTTGTAAATACAGGGTCCAGAAATACTTTGAAGAGTGCATGCCTAGCTGTAAAAGCATCTCTACAAATTCTCAGATTTTGAGTGTAGTAGTACTGTGGCAACCTGAATCTATTCAACTGCTGTTAGTTTTAGAACAGCATGTGGTTTTAGTAATTCATGTTTTATATTGAATGTGTACCTCAATGATTGCCCTTTTCTGGTAAGATAAACTAGTTTTACATGCTAACCATGCATGATTAAGTTAAAATAAACCTAGAAAGCGTTTAACTGCATGTTGGTAGTTAAGTCACTAGTTACAATTAACTAAGACATTTTTGGCAGTTTAGTGTTCTTCCTTCTAGAAGGGGGTAAACCCTGATCAATCTGCCTCAAGTCTTTCTGCTGTGGTCATTCTCTAGCAACTTTTTGGATCATCTGTAGGTGCCTTCCTACTATTATCACCTTGTTTGTGTCAATATAGCAACATTTTTACTGCCTGTTCCCCTAACAATATGTTTATATTTCAGGGAGCTGATTCACTTGCTCACTCACCTTTCTGAAGCTCTGCATGAAGCACAACTTAAACTCATCCTGGTCATCCCTCCTGCAGTTGCAGCAGGGTGAGTATTCCTATTTATATGGCAGAGTACAGATGAGAAACACTTTCCTGTTCAATATTCAATAAATTCAATGCTTTGTTTATAGGTACATGGTTTTAATGAGTGGGAAATTACTCGAGCTTGATCAGTGGTCATGTCTTCCTGCATGCCACGCTGAATACTAACTGTGTTTATTTGTATACACCTTCTAACTTTTGATCTCAAAATAATATGCAGAGGTACTTCTTATTGGGGTGTTAGCCCAAAACGTCTAGTGAACATTCTAGAGCACAAGAGAAGAAATAAGTGTGAAAATTAATGATTTTATGCAGTCTTTTTAACTTCTTGGCAATAGAGTAGCATAAAATCTTTCAGAGCCTCTAGGCACAACTTCAGCTATGATGGATAATGGCTTGTTCTTTAAGCAAGCAAGGCAGAGCTACTGGAAGGAATTATCTATAATACGGCTGTGTTTATTTCTGTTTTGACTTGGTAATTCATATATCCAGAAAATGCATTAGGAGGATAATATTTAGAAATATTAATGATTTTGTTTGTTTGTGCAATGATTTGAATCTGATGAATATGCCTATTTCATGTTCTTCTGGTTCAATAGCAGTTGTTATCTTTCAGTATATATGGCAGAGAAATACTTGCTGGGGGGAGGGGGGAGTACCTATGGAAGATTGATATGCAGTTACATGGAAGGAATTCCATGTAAACTGTGCAGCCCTATAAAATTGCCTAGCTTGTGTTCTGAGGAGGTTTTTATCTGTCACCCTGGACTCCCTGTTTTCACCTCGACCTACAGATTTTTATGTTTTCATATCACATTTTGTGACATAGTACTGGTGGAGGAATATTGCAATTCTACTGCACTACAGCATTAAAAGCATAGACCCTCAGGATCCTCTCAGGACAACCCTAGACTTATGCAGGTTTTACTTTTTCTCTAAACTTTATGTGGCTGGTTCCCTTTTCTGTGCTCTGTGTTTTTTTGTGGTCTCCCTACATCTGAATACACATCCTATATGCCTGAGGCAGTTTGGAAACTTGTTACACTCCAAATCATATCACACACTGTGTAAGTGGAGCCATCAACTTATTGTTAGTTCGGTTAATGTTTTAGTTGTCTAGTAGTCTAAGCTGTCTAATACAAAAAAGTCTTAAAATAATTGTTAATATAATTGTCTTCCTGCTTTCTACCTCTTCTGGTATTCTTCCAGTGTTACTCTTGATCCTAGACTTGCATTGCAGTATTCCTCAAGCAGAAATCTTCAATATCTAGAGGTCTTTGCCAGGAACAGTGCGACACTCATGGCAGAGATTTCTTCCCACTTGATACTGGGGTCTTTGTGGGGATCTTTTACCTGTCATTCTGTTGTAAAATAATTTTCTTTCTTTTCATTGATTCCCAGCTGAAGGTTGAAGGGTAGTCTGTCTTGACCTCAAACCTTTGATCACAAAGGGCTACTGGCTGTTGTACAGTGTCTTTAGGTCTGTCAGATCTTTCCCACGTGTGATAATTTATACCTTTATCCCACAGATGAGACAATCACTTCATCACTAGGTAATTGTAAAGTTAAATCCAGTTCAGACTAAGACTAGAGAAGGCTTTTGTAGCTGAACCACAAGTTTTGATTATCGCCGTATGAAGTGCTAGCATGCTTCCATTAATCGAAAGTGTTTGGTGCAGGGTGGTATTAAAGCATCATACAAAAGAGTAATAACCTCAAAGCTTATTTAAAAATGGAGACATGGATATTAAATCCTGGCTCACAAGATGACCTTTGACATTGGCAGACCATGAATAATCTAATTTCTTGCAGATTTGTCTGGAAAATTTCAGGCTGTATGCCTCAACCTCACATTCATGCTGAGTTATGATAATAAAAATGTTATGAGATCCCTTTTGCTTTGGTTAAGTGAAAAATAATGATAAATAACTAGGTCTTCAGTTCTGTCTATAGCTTACTTCAATCTGTCATGCTGGAATAAAATTCCCTCCTGACCTTTCCTCATTCTAATTAATGATTCTTTTTTTTAAAGACACTTTCTGTTGCTGTTAACTGTAGTTACACAAAAAGTAAGGAAGAACACTTAAAACATTTTACTAAAACCCTTTATCAATCACTTCATCACACATACTTTTTAAAATGTTAATGCATGCTCTGGTAGAACTTCAGTAATTACTGTAAGTGATAGTTAGTGAAGTGCAATCACTCCTTTTGGTGGTGGGGAGAAGGCAGAGAAAAATTACAAAACATAAAATGCCTATTGGTGATTGTACCTATTGCCATTAGCAGGTTCAGTTTCACACCCAGAGGGATTCAAGACTCTTTTTCTTTTAGTTACATGGATCTCTATGGTCTATTTTTTTTTTTCCTAGAGCCTGAAATGGGGAATTGAAGGCACCACATTTGTCTTCTAGGTTCTCTAAGGCTGTTTTGCCTTGACCAGATTTTGCTTTATTTATAGTAAATAGTTATGTTTTTCAGGGCTGCTTAGAACAACTCAGTGAGTTTTGGGCCATGTGTTGCAATTGCTGTTACTGCTGTTGTGAATATTGAAATGTGCTACCCATTTACTCAAGAAATTGTTAATCAGTTAAGTCCTAAAATATACACAATGTCTGAGAATGCTTTAAAGTTTAGAAATGTGTTGTATTTATTTATATCCACAGCAGAATCCTGAAAACTTGTTTCTGCCTGCCTTTACTTTTAGATAGCAGCTGTGCTTGAAAACTTAGCTTTATAGGATAACAGGGCTTCTGCTGAAATGTGCTTCCCATTGGGTATTAAATATCTCATGTTATCAGATTTTTTGAAAATCACTTTGGATTTTAATACTTAAACATGATTGAAGGTGCTTTAATGCATTTTATATCCTTTATTTGTTGGAATCACTATAGACTGTTAATCAAAAATATGGCAAAAGGCAGCGAAGTACCATCAAGAATCATATAATATTTTAGAGTTCAGTAACTGGCAAAAGACTGATAAAGGAGACATGAGCTATATGTCAATTACCCTTCTCAGCTAGGATCTTAGGGGCTGAAGTATTGTTTCTTTTGTGTTCTACCGTGATTAATATTTAAAGAGAAAGCATAGCAAAATGTAAGCAGTTTATTTAGGAATTTGTAATTTATATTTCTTTCTTAACTGTTAAGATGAAAACAGTCTGGCAGCAAGCACATTATGAAAAGAGACACCTTTAAGAGCTGGAAATACTGTTTTGCTTATACAAAAAGAGTCTGAAAAATGCAGCTTTGTGCATGAGATCAGTTGTATGATGCAGGAAGGGAACCTACTGGATTGTCTATTTAACTTCTCAAAGGCAGCTCTTGCTGATAACCTATGCTAAGTGAGAATGAATCCCCTAGCTGAAGCTTGTGTCTATAACTCAAGGATTCTGAAAAGCCTTTGCCCTTTGTTTTACTTGAAGTTGTAGGCTCAGGGAAAACCTCTCTTGAAGGAAAAAAATGCAGATCACTACTTTTAAATGTTTACAGCACTGTCCACAGGCAGTTCTGCTGGCACAATCTGAAGGTGGAAACATATGTAGCGGGACCAGGGATCTCTTTAGTGAGTTTGCTGCCAGAGAAAATACATATAGAGCTATCATACTGGCAAACAGATTAGGATAGCTAGTATTTTTTCCCATGTAATCTCCAGGAATTGTATGGTTTTCCCACAAACGTATGCAATGTGTAAAAGAAAGAGCAAGAAGCAAAATCATGACATAAGAGTACATGTTCCTCTTTGGGATGTTAGGCTTGTGGTCATGCCAGTCGAGGAGAGATAGCAGGATTGCTGAATTATGTAAATGGTTTCTAGCACAGATGGTTTGTGGAAGACTTCAAGCCTGTCTTTCAACAGATTGTCTCAAAATATTAGGGAATGTTTAAAGCTTCTAACATACATGGGTGTACATATAAACTATGGGAGTACCATACTGGAAACAGCAGTGAGTGGCCAGGTTAATCTCCCTGTTAATCACCAAATGATTGGCAATGTTGGTAACTCAATTTTTGCTGACTGATCATGGGCTTGATAAAATTCCTGGCATAAGTATATGGAACTTAGCACTGTTTTTATCATATTTATAACATATATGTTTAATTTTAGTGATGGAACTGATTCAGTGATTAATATACTGCAGTAACTATACTGATCAAAGCTTTGTGTGGATGCTTTTATGTTGGTGTGTACCACAAGTCCCTTTCTCAATAGGGTAACTGTGTTCAGTGCTTGCTATCTTGTTATGCTGCATTATGACTACATTATGCGTGCTATCTTGTTGTGATGATACTAGTTTCTTTTTTGTTTTTTTTCTTTCTTTTGGAGACTAGCCTTAAAAAAAAAAAGGCAGATAAATATGGATATTGCTTAGGGGTTAAAGAAACTGTTGAAAAAAAAAAAAAAAGTTGGGAAAGGAGACCTGAAATTTGACTGTGTCTGTTCTGCTATGTCTGTAAATCAAAGGAATGGAGGTAGTTATTTTTGTTTTTTACTGCTTATATGCTTTAGGATATGTATGCATTTCCATAAGCAAAAAGTGAGGCTTTGAATCTGAATAGTAGTTCTTGCTTGTAGATTAACTGAATTTTATCTGACTGGATAATTATATATTTTGCTCAGGTTCAGTAATGGTTTTATGCTTAGTGGTTCCCAGTTACTTTGAAGGAAAAGAATGGGTAAAGAAAAATCTTAAGTTTTTTAGACGTGATGTCATCAGGAAGAATATCAATAATTCTCCTGTTTCCTGCTGTCTTGAGAGAGAGCAAAGGCAGCTGAATGCTTGCAGGAGTTGCAGATAGGATGTTGTCTTTCCAACAACAGGTTCCTAGGTTGTATAACTAGGGCATTTCTGGCTTCCGTAGTTTATTACTGCTATTGAGCATATGGCATAACAGTGTCAAGGATCAGCTTTGTAGACATTAAGTCATTAAAACCTGTTATTTTCACTAAAGTGTTAAATAACTTGGTATTTGCAGACATGTTGTTAGTGGTCGCTTGCTT